CAGGAAGCTGGTCCAAGCACCCTGAATCTCCAATTGTCTGTGTTGCTGGGGTTTTAACCTGTAGCCTTGTGTATCCCAGACAAACTGTCACTGGGCACAAAGAAGCCTGAGTTTATGACACTGTGATGGTCCTGATGTGGTACCTAATTTACCTGGAGAGCTGGGCTCTGAAGTACAACTCAGCTGTGTGACCAAAGGGAGGTAGGTACACACAGTGGGGTCATGGCTGGGGAGCCAAAATGCCTTTGCTTTCTAGCTGAGAGTCATCTTAATGGCTATCTCCATCCCTATAAGAGAGCTGCCTGCGGTGATGGTAATCACACTCACTAAATGCATTTCCTCTCCAAATAGGTCCACCTACCTTAGGACAGGTAGTAAACACCGATGATCAGCAACTACAGCTCACTTTCCCCAGAGAAGAGGCCACATCTCCAACAGACTTTGACATTGCTCCTTGGCCTTCAAACTCCTAGGCATTCCCCCACTTTCCCAGAGGGCTCCAGGGGGGGGCAAGTTCCTTCCCCACTGAGCTGGGGTTTCCTGAGAAGGAAGCCCCTTTCAGCCTCTAAAACAATCATTCCAGAAAGACAAACTTACCAACGGCTGAGGCTAAGAACTAGGAGCTCTGCAGGTCTCACCATGCAGCCCTGGCTGGCGTGGAACTTGCTATGTAGACCAGGCTGGACTCAAACTCACAGAGCTCTACCTGCCTCTGTCTCCCTGAGTGCTGGGACTAAATAAAGGTGTGCATGCTCTGCCACAACGGGCCTTGACCTGTCCATTTCAAAGCCAAACACCCAGTAGCTTCCTTCCAAAGCCAACCCTTCTGAAGCTTCATCTTGGCCAAGTTAACCCTGTCAGCTAATTGTGCCCGCCCACCTACCCTGCTTCCTGGGTACCCACACGGGCTTTGCCTCTAGGGTCAGGGTCAAGGCTGGGAGGACTCTGAATGAACCTGAGTGCTTTCCCATTCATGCCTGTCATCATGCTGCTCTTCCTAAGACCCCCGAAGACTGGGGACTGGTTACCCGGTTCACTGACTGGGAGCAAAGACTTGCATGGACTAAGGAGCAGTGCTTCAGACGCAGGAAGCAGCAGAGTGGAGACTCTCAACACTACTGTGTCTCACCCCCAAAGCTTAGACTTCCGGCCTCCCTGTGAGGAGGGGGAGAGGAAGGGAAGCTGCTAATAGGCAAGAAGGAGTGGTTGATTCCGTCTGGGCTTCCATCTCTAGGTGTACTGGAAGCACAAACAAGCCCAGGTGTGCTGGAGGGGGCAAACTGGGCAAAGCTCCCTTACAGCTGCTGTGGATTCACTCATTAACTCAAAACCACTATGATGAGCGCCTCCCTACAGTAGGTACAGAGCAGTGTTGGTGACGGAATACAAATAGCCCGAGGCTGTGCCCTGGGGCTCCTGATGTATTAGAGGTGAAGCTGTAAACACAGGAACACACGGAGACACGAGGATATATAGCTTGCTTGAGGGGATTCAGATCTTTAGCGTGGTTGGGAATGAGCCGGGCAGTGGGGAGGGTGGTACTACAAAGAACTATTATTCTTAAATATTGATTGATGCAGCTGGGCTGTGGTGATGCCTGCCTTTAATCCCAGCACTCAGGAGGCAGAGGCAGGTGGATCTCTGTGAGTTCAAGGCCAGCCTGGTATACAGAGCAAGTTCTAGGACAGCCAAGGCTGTTACACAAAGAAACCCTGTCTCCATAAACCAAAATGATAATAATAATAATGCAGAATCTGGTCTTGTAGCCCAGTCTGGCCTTGAAGGGGCAATCCTCCTGCGTTTGCCTCCCATGTGCTAGGATTATAGGCCTGAGCCGCCACACCCAGCTCATCACATAAACATTAAACATCAGTGATCTTTGAGCACTTCTGAGAGCTGGGCTTGGCCACAGCTGCACCTGCCCAAGTAGGGAGGAATCACTGAGAACTATTTATTACTTCAAATGCCAACAATCAACATTTACTGAGCACTTACTTAGTGCCAGGTATTGAGTGACTTATACACACATCCTTATGTAATCCTAATAACCTCATGAGGTCACTGCCATCATTCCCAACTTACACAATAGGAAACAAAGGCTTAAGGAGATGAAGAAACTGGACTCCAGGCAGTTCAGCTAGAACAGCTGAGCTGGCTGGGGTATGCCCCAGCCCCACTTTGGGCCAAAGCTCAAGGATTTAGGCCTTGTCCTATGTCTGGTAGGGAAAGACAATAGGAAGCAGGTGAAGGGCCAGTGAGACAGCTCAGACAGTAAAACTTCTGCTGTGCAAGCATGAGGATCTGAGTTCAATCCCCAGTGTTGTCCCTGTGTCCGCCCTGCCTTGACAAACCACCCCCCTCCAAAAAAAAGCCAGCAGTAGAGGTTTGGGTTTATAATCCTAGTAAGCTTAGCCAGATTCATAAATTCCAGCCTGGTGGGCCTTTAATCCCAGCACTCAGGAGGCAGGAGGATCTCTGTGAGTTCCTGTCTCAAAACAAATCAGCCATCCCTACAAATGTAAACATCCCAGGCCTTTGTGAGAGATACTGTCTTTGGAAACAAAGAAGGGGCTCAGTGTGGTGGAGCACACTTGTGACCCCGGCATTTGGGAGGCAGAGGCAAGAGAGCCTCTATGAGCTGCGGTCAGCCTGGTCTAGAGGCCAGCCACAGCTACATAATAAAACCCTGTCTCAATAAAGAAGTCTCGGTAGGCCAGCGGGGATGGCCAGTGTTCCAGGCACCTCTCATCACCTGCCCTGTTTGCTCTTGGCCCACCAAGAGGCCACTAGGCCAGTCTCTTCAGCAGCACCCTCCAGCTGACACCTCTTGTCACATGAGAACTGATGAGATTAACCGGAGTTCCCGCTCTGCAAACAAATCCAGGCCAAAACTAACTGTCAAATCTCAGTTGAGGAAAGGAATGCCTCAGTGTTTACTGGCATATTTTGCAATACTGGATGGGGTGTGGGGGAGTATCATCTGGAAGCTCACCACCACACCAGAATATGGGAACTCTGTACCAGAGAAACACAGCAGAATAAAGCTGAAGGGACGGGACTTTTCAAGGCTTGGGCAACAATGAACTTAACTATTGAACAGGGGACAAGCACTCCCTGGTGTTTTGATAACTACTGAAAGACAGACCATGTTGCCCAATGCTCCTATTTTACAAATGGAAGAATCAAAGCTCACAGAATGACTGACAAGTCCTATGATGATGCTATCCCCAGGATGGTTTTACTTTGAGTTTCCCGGTCTGCACCATCTACACAAACGCAGGTGTCCTACTACTGCCTAGGGCCCCCGATTCCGCGGCGTTCTCTCAGAGGGCAGATCTCCAAGAGGGAGCCCTGGCACTGCCTTTTTAAATACAAAACGGTCTGATACAGAGCCTTGCACAGCAGCCTCCACACGGCCCCTCGGCGCCCAGCCCCAGCAGCACACCAGAAAGAGCAAGGGGAAGAGCTGAGCATGGCTGCAAGTCGGTGAGTTTCTGGGGGGTGAGGGGAGGCTGCTGGTTATCTGTCCTGGTGCTAAAGTCCAAAGGGAAAGCCAGGGAGGTGGCGGGGGGGTAGGAGAAAAGGCAATGGTGAATCAATGAGCAAAGTTCAAATTGGGTTTGTGCCTAGGAGCAGAGGTCACCTGTTCCAGCTTGCGGCCGGGACTCTACTACTGTCTACTACTGCTTGCCAATGCCAATTTGGCACTGGCAGGAAGTGGGAACCTGGTGGCCCTGGCATTCCCAGCACCTAACTCTGGCAGAACAAGGCTTCTGGTGACCTCACTTCCACCAAACCAGTTGGTACTCTCAGGCTCCGCCTTCAACCTTAAGGCTGAAGTGTCCTTTCTCTTTTGAGGGAGAATCTTCCTGTCGCCATGGATACTGCTGCCTCCAGCCCCTATCAGGTAGAGAGCTAGTGCACACTGAAGGGAAGGGACCCTGCTCCCACAGCCTGTGCCCTGAGCCTGGCCTCCCTCTCTCCTTGCTCTCTAGGGAACGGACGCTCAGCTCAGCACAACAGCTCCTGTTTTGCCAGCTGCCCCTCCAGCAGCTGATCCAAACTGGGGTTGTTTGGGGAAAATACTAAGCACAGGCAAAACCAACTAGCCGGCTTGCTTTCAGGGCACTGGAGTGAGCAGTGACAATACCAGGGCGAGACCACTTGCCCATGGTGGACTCTGCGGGACACTGCCTGGCCTTAGGACTACGCCCTCCCCCAACCATCTTTCTCCTTCTCCTCCTCTTCAAGGTCCTCCCACCAGGCTCCCAGATACCAGCTAGCGAGCGCTTACTCCTCACATTCCAGAGGATCATAAATCCTCCAGGGTGGCAGAGCCACCACCCCCAAGACGTCTCTGCGCCTCCTCCCTGTACCCCACCCCCACCCCTCGCTCGGAGACGCTGGGACTTCCTCTCTTTCTTAGAAGTCACTTTAGACTTGAGAAGGATGAAGTCCAATCGGCGTGAGTTAATGATGCACAAACTAGGGAACCGAGGTGGTGCGGGCAGGACTTCGAAGACCTTCCCAGGGACCTCTAGTTACTCAGCATTCACGCCAACTTTTGAGGAGGGAGGGAGGGAGGGAGGGAGGGAGAGAGAGAGAGAGAGAGAGAGAGAGAGAGAGAGAGAGAGAGAGAGAGAGAGAGAGAGAGAGAGAGAGAGAGAGAGAGAGAATGAGTGAGAAAGGGAGGGAGAAAGAGTGTCCGGATGGGGGGCAGAATCCAATGGGAGCCGAGAAGGGGACCGAATTCCTTTGCGTCGCCTCCCCCAAAGTTCAAGGGAACCGAAAGTGCAGGCGGCAACCGCGCTCTGTTCCCCAGTGACCCCGGACAGGGTGATGGGGTCGCGGGTCGGAGCCCGAAGCTTGCCTCAGGAACATCGATGGCTTCGGGTCAGAGGGCGGAAGCCGTTTCCTCCACTCTTCTGGAGTTTCAGCAAGTGCTGGACGTCCGGGGCTCCCGAGTCTCTCCGGAACCCCAGTCCCATACCCGCACTTACCCGTTCCAGGTGGCTCTTTTCGGCCTCATTCTGGTTTTGAGCCTGCGCGTCAGCGGCGGCTGGCGGCTCGGCTTGTTCGGACTTCTGGGAGCGCAGCAGATCCTCCCCGATCGGGACGCCCAGCTTCTTGAGATGCTCGTCGGTCGCGGGGTCGACCACCAGCAGGCGCACGGCGTTGAGCGCCGCGCGGATGCGGCTCACCACCTGCTGATGCGTCTCCTTCTCCACATTCTCGCCGTTCACCTCCACCAATCGGTCCCCGGCCAGCAGCCCCGACTTCTCGGCCGGCGAGCCAGGCTCCACCAGCCGGATAAACTGGCCCACCTTGCCCTTCTCCCCGTGCAGGTGGAAGCCGTAGCCGTTCGGACCCTTCTCCAGGCAGCAGAGCCGGGGCAGGGGCTCCCCGGCCGCCGCGTCCGCGTTCATCTTGCCCTGAGAACGCTCAGTGCGGTTCCCGTCGGAGGCCGGGGACGCACGGCCTTTCTCCCCGCGACGCGGAGCTCAAGTTGGGAGCTGAGCACCGTACGGGGACACCGTGAGCAGGTGTCCCAGGAACGGCGGCGGCGAACGCACAGGAAGGGAGCCGGCCAATCCCCGCCCTGCGCGGCGTCTGAGCGTTCCAGAGCCCGCCCGGCTCCTAAAGCCGGGGGCGGGGCTGTATCGTGGGTGTGGATCACCCTGGACCAATCAGAAACCACAAGACCCGGGCTCTTGGGCCGGGGGTGCACAAATATGGCCAATCAGAAGGGTGGGGGTGTGGCTTGCACTCGGCGCGGCTCCCCGCAGTGGAGAAGAAAAGGGAGCCCAGGAAGTGGAAGTGTTTGTTACCAAGTGCGGAGTTGGGCCGATGGGGCGGGGCCGGAGCCCGGGCGGGGGCCGGGTTCCAGGTACTGAGCCCAGGGGCCTCGTGGGCTGCGCTCTGGTTTCCACGTCGTGGAGTGGGATTTAGAAGAGCCAGTCTCGGGGTAAAGGATCCTCAACGTTTTAACCGCCGTCAGTCTAAGCCTGTTGCACAGCTTGGCTGGGGAGGGGGATGGGAGCGACAGTTGCCTAGGAAACCATCCCCCACCTCCCCACTCACTCCTCCTCCTCCCCGGGGCCAGCTTAAGAACCGGACGGATGTCTTCTGTAACACAGTAACACTGTAACAGAGTAACTGTAACAGAATAACTCTGGAGCGGGGTTGTTTAGGTAACAAAGTTTCTACTTGTGGAGTCACTGCACTATCCCAGGACTTGGCATAAAGAGAAGGTTTGGGCTCTGATCCCTTCTAGGAACGTGTAGGGCGGGACAGAGAGGCCAAGGCTCCTAGCAGCCCACCTGGAAGACCAGGCTGCCTGAGGGTAGATCAGTAAATAATAAGTAAATAAATAAAAGACTTGGTTTGGGCAGCAGTCTTTCTTTGGCTAGGGAGAGGGGGCGGGGAGAGACAGGTAGTCAATCTCAGGATTCACTCTGGAGGGAATGGAGGCCTGGCTTTTTTCAACAGAGAAAGAAAAATGACTTGGATTGTGAGATAAGCTTTCCAGCTCCCTCTGGCTCGCAAAGATGCTGGTCTGGGGGAGGGCAGTCAGTTAAGGGTGAGGTGAGCCTATAAGGACACCAAAGAATGAGGAAGAATGAGGATGGAACGATTTGAGCATTGGGTAACAGTTTCCCACAAAATGCCAAGCAACAAACTTCCCAACACGATCCCTCTTCCTCTGGGAACAAAGAAAAAACGCCAGGGTATACTTTCCAAAATACTGCAATTTAATTCTGAAAAACACAAATGCCAGAGACCCAGAGCTATGTGACTGGAGTTCCTGCAACCTGCTCAGAGTCCCAGAAGAGAACAGGCAAGCCCAGGCTCCTCCTTGATCTGACTGTGAGAGGTCACAGAGAGCTTCCTTATCAACCCACGTTTAGAGTGCTGACTGCTCAGAGAGCAAGATTTCTGCCTTGAAAGCAAATGCAGTAACCTCATAAATGTGCAATGCATACTTTCTTGGAGAGTGGCAGTAAAGCTGCCTGCGGTCATGGATCTACACACCTCCAGAGTCCTCCTAAGGGTGGCTTTAGGAGACACATGGCCTTTGGCCTATACGACTTCCTTGCTGCCTGCCCTTCTCCATACCCAAAGCTTGACCAACTACCTTGTTTTGTATATTACATCGGCTCATCCAGAAATGGACAACTTCCCACCCTCTTACATGATTTAGTGGAAGAGGAGGAGATGAAACAGTTTTGGCCCTAGTATTGGTCTGAAGTTAAAGGGAAGAGACAGAGAGCTGGGGCTTAATGGGGAAACTTGGACCATGGGGTGTTGTTCAGTTCTGCCTCACACCCATTCTAGGAGCCGGTGAGTTCTTTATCTGGCTCTTCCCTCTGCCTTAAATAGCTGTGGTGCTGTACACCTTGTCACAGGATTGGGAAGGAAGGGATTTTTTTTTTCTTGGCTCTGACCTCTGGGGTCTAGGAACCCAGGCAGAAGGCTGATGAGAGAGATTCCATGGGATGGTGGGCATCCCTTGGGATGTGAGGTCCAGAGAATTGAAAGTAATGTTTTCAGGTGCCCCACTGTGCTCGTGTGGCAGAGAAAAAGGGGCACACTTCCAGGAGGAGAGTGAGGAAGGCCAGAGGTAACTGAGCAGACCCCACCCAAGGGACTGCTATTCTTCTCACACCCCTCCCCCCATCTCCACATTTACCTTTCCTGTGGCATTGGGCTAGCTCCCAGCACTAAGGCCCTTCCTATTGGGGAGCTGGAGGAAGAGAAGGCTGGGGTCTCCTTAGCCTCCCTAGTGAGGATTGTCACAACAGCTCCCACATCCTAGTAGTGCTTCAGTGTCCCCTGGTGCCATGCCAGTGCAGTAGCATCTTGCTAGGAGGCCCAGCCTTTTAGAACCTACTCCCAGAAGGCAAAAGGACCAAGTCCCTGCCTATGTTTTTTTTTTGGGGGGGGTGGCACACTGGTGCTTTTTTTTTTTTTTTGGTTTTAGGTTATATATACTAAGATAAAGTATGGTTATTTTACCCTTCCCATGACACAGGGAAGCTAGAGAAACTAGGGTGGCAGCTATCTCCCTGGCCAGGGCTGCCCACTGAACCCCAGCTCTCTTCTAGTTGGCTTGGCAGTTAGAATAACTGCCTTCCCAAGGGTCTCTGCACCTCCTCTTAGCCCCTCGGGAGTCACACAAAGGAGCAGCAGCTGGGGCGCTTCTTCTGGGACTCCACATAGTCTCGGATCTGGAAGCTGGGCTCATCAGGCTGCCTGCCTGCACGGTATTTCAGCTCCCTAGAACAGGAAGAGTCATGTGCAGAGCTGGGACTGGAGAGCCAGGCATTCCCTACTCCCCCTCCCCCCATCCTGGCTTCCCAGATCGTCTCCCACCCCAACCCGGGCTTCCCTTCCCTGCTCAGCTCTCACTTGGCAATTGCCAGAAAGGCCAGCTCCACATTCATGCCAGTCTTGGCACTGGTCTCCATGAAGGGAACACCATACTCCTGCCCGGGAGAGAGTATTCTCAGGGCCTGTTTCTGGCCTCTCTCACCATTCACCTGACCCCATTGGCAGCCACTTACCCTGGCCAGCGTCTCTCCATCCTCGGAACGGATCACCCTTTCACTGCTTACATCCGCCTGTAAACCCATGTGGGTCAATCAACTCCGGGGAAGGAAGCCTTGACCCCAGGAAACCCATCTTTGGCCCCAGGAGCAAGCACAGCCTGCCCTCTTCTGGTAGCCTGAGGGACTGCAGGTAGGTGTGCTTGGCCTGGGGCCAGGGTTTCTGTGTTGCTCAGGCCGTGTGCCCGATGCCCGCCCTGTGCACTTGGGGAGGTGTGTAACTCTAGCAAAGGGTGTGGTGACCCAGCTTCATCAGGTGACAACAGCTGACTTAAACACTTTGTACCTAATCCCTGACCCCTGATCTGTCTGTCCATAATGATCTAGTGATGGCTGACAGATGAGTCACCTGGCTGCAGTTTAGGTTATTGGTGGAAGGGGCTGCTACTACTAAAGCTTTGGGGTAGGACAGGCAGAAGCCACAAGACATGTCTGACTTCCATACTGGAGACCTCAAAGGCCCCCCCCCAAGGATTTAGGTAGCTATGGGGCTAGGCGGGGCTGGTGCTGAGTCAGTGGGAGAGAAGAGCCATAGTGCATGGACTCTAGCACAGAAGCACTCACCTTGTTGCCTAGCAGCATAATCACCACATCTCTCTGGGCATACTCATGAATCTCCGTAAGCCAGGCCTGTGGGAGAGGGGAAGCTGAGCCAGGCTGGGCCCAAGGACCAGGGTATTCTTCTCCTGGAGAGCTGCATTGGGATGCTAAAACCACAGAGGGGCTCAGCCATCCAAAGCAATGGGATCCGCCATGTGTCACAACACAGGCTTATACTCCCCGCACAGGGGCAGGAGGGCAGATCCAGCCTGAGCTACAATATCTAGGCCCTGCCTCAAAGCAAAACAACCCAGCAACAACAAACGGGAATTGGAGATGGAGGTAGAGATGGATAAGCTTGGCTGGGGATGTTAATACACTAGTAACAGGCTTTTCTTCAGCATACAAGGCTCTGGGATTCATTTTTCTGTATTGCCTTTCTGACCAAAAAAGTGCTGAGATCGATTAGTGATGTCTGGCTTGGAAGCAGCAACGCCATGCAGTTTCCATCCTTTTATAGCTATCCGTCTTATCCCCTCAGTTTGCTTTTCAGTAACCAGTTCTCAAGGTCTAGGAGCACATGAGACCTATACAGTGTTGTGAACAGAGTCATGCTTGTATCTATTGGTTATGGCCTCTGTTCTCTAATGGTTTGGTTGTGAGGACACAGCCACTCACTCTGTCTTCTTGTGTTGCAACTTGACCTGGATGCATGTGGAGTTTTCTGCTTGGACTTTCCCTTGGGTCCCTGCGGATCATTGTCCAGGGTGGAGCTGGGACTGTTCTGAACACTTTGATATAAAACACACTCATAAATCACAGTTAGGACTATACAGTCAGCACAGGGCACATCAACCTGCTTGGTTTCCATGCCTACATAGCAATGAAATACCCAGTCACTGCTGAGTGTTTTTCAAAGGTGACAGGCTCTGTAGTCTGCCTGTTTTTACAGAATTGAAGCAATCTGGCCCGCAGAGGCCCTGCTGTGGCTGCTCACGACAGTCAGGGTTGTTGGGGGGAGGGAAGGACCTTGGGAGGGGAGGACCTACCCTGATGTTGTCAAAGGAAGATTTGTTGGTGATGTCATAGAGCAGGAGCAAGGCTGGAGGGGGACAGATAGCAGAGGAGATCAGGGCATCAGCAGGGGTGCTGCAGAGTGGGGACGGGTCAGAGGACAAGGACTTACCCTGAGCATCTCGGTAATAAGCATGGGTTACACTGCGGAAGCGCTCCTGTCCTGCAGTGTCCCAGATCTGGGAGAGAGAGAGGAGAGGTGTGAAGGAGCAGGGTTAGCTGCTGACTGGAGAGCTCATGCTGTGGCGTGAGAGCTGTCTGTGAGATGGGGGGGGCTGTTTCCTACTGTGGGTTCTCACGGGGCTCCCCAGCATCTGATGACATCTCCAATGGTGTTTCTGGGGTCTTAAACTCATTAACTACTGTTTCCTCTTCTCCAGCCCAGGGGTTGGGGTGCTCGGAGCAGCAGAGACTTGGAAAACAGTAAGGGAGGCTAAGCCTAGCTGAGGGCATTGTGAGTTGCCTTTGATAGGAGAGAGGGTGCCTGAGAACTGCTTTTTTCTGCAGATATCAAACAAAGAAAAGCAGTTTCCTCTCCTGGGCCCCACAGGAAGTTGCCCCAGACTGAGGGCAGGGCTGTAGGCCTGTGGTTCAGGTTCAGAAGCAAGTGCAAGCCCCTCCCCCATCCCAGCCACTGCTCCTACCTGAAGCTTCACCCTGGCACCATCCACTGTCACCACCTTGTTCTGAAAGAGAAAAGGGCAGAGGGTGGGGAGGGGATGTTGGCTGTTTCTGAGGTCTGTCACTATCCTGTCCTGGTCTCTCTCCAGGCCCACAGGCGGTGTGGTGAACCTGAGTCATCTTCAGTCAGATCACCCTATTAGAGCAGTGGGGGACCTGTTTCAAGATTCCTCCACTCATCGTTCACATAACTTAGTCAGGCAAGGAGAACCTTCAAACCTGCCTAGTTCTCCGTGAGCCACCGTGGGGTTGCTGGGAATTGAACTCAAGACTTCTGGAAGGGCTGCCAAGTGCTCTTAACCACTGAGCCATCTCTCCAGGCATGCCTAGTTGCCTAGTTGTCTGTTGGACTCAGCAGGCAGCACAGGGAGTGTGTGGGAGGGTCTGACCCTTCCCTGCTTCAGTCTCTGCCTTCCAGAGTTCAACTTTAGAGATGAGGCACCCATTACATCCTGAGGCCTTCAGAGGCTCATTCTGCAAGACCACCGGCCCTCCAGTTACCCATAATCCTCTCAGTGTAGCCTCAGGACTCCATTCACTGGGAGAGGCGCAAAGACTCTTCCCCTCCGGGATCTTTTGCTGGGCAGCCCCAGCAGTCCTGCTTGCACACGGATAAGGATAGAAATCTTAGAGTCCTTAGGGATGGGGGGCGGACAGCCTCGAGCGCTCCATCTCCGAACCCAGCCTTCCAGCTTCTCCACAATTGTTTCTTGAAGACTGACCTTGAGAGGGACCCAGCTTAGATGGCTACCTTGCTTGGGGATGCTATCCTAGAGCTGAGAAGAAGGTGAGCAAGATGCCAACTCTACCCAGAATCCTTTGACCGGGTCACCTCTGTGGTCCTGGTGGGAGTACCTCCCAGGCAGCAAGCCCCAGGTGCCCTCAGGAGTCAAAGACAAGGAGAGGGTACCCTTCTTGAGCCTAAGCTGTCACCAGCTCACTGCAGGAGGAGCCTGCAGCCGCCTCACCCTGAAGTCTATGCCGACGGTGGCTATGAAGGTTCCGGACAGGAAGGCCCCGTCTTTGAATTGGATCAGGAAACAGGTTTTGCCGACGCCTGAATCTCCCAGAAGCATCACCTAGGAGATGGGGGCAGAGGCAGTTAATGGTGACTGGGGAAGAGACGGGGTCTTCTGGGATTCCAGAGAGGACTGTCCTTAAGAGGGTCAGAGAAGGAGAGAAGGGTGGAGAGGGACGCCATTTGGACGGCGGAACACGGCCTCCAGCCTGCCTTTGCCCTCACCCCCGCTTCCTGTCTCCATTCTCCTTCCCTCAGCCTCCCAGCTCCTCCCTCTGAGCCTCTTGTACTAGCCAATGTCCTCAAAGTCAAACTATAACCTCCAAAAACGTGCTTGGAGATCCCCAGAGGATGTCACACTCTGTTGGGCTGTACCTTGGATATCTATTTGCCCATTGCTGAACAGTGCGGAGATCATTGCTGGTTTGAGTGTGTACTCAGGTGTACACAGGTTGGTGGGGCTCCACACAGGGAAAAGGGCCTCTCCCCCAGGAGCCTAGCAAGACTTGATGGACGGGTGGGGGCATGGTGCTGCGTGCCCTCATTCTAGCATTTGAGAGGCAGAAGTGGGCAGAGCTCTATGAGTTCTAGGCCAGGGAATGTGAGGGCTAGCCAAGGCTAAATAGTGAGACCCGTTTTTTGTTGGTTTTTGTTTGTTTGTTAAAAGACTTGATGGGTGGAACATTGTCTTTAAATTGCTATTGCTGGAGTTTTCTTTTGGGTCAGACATTAATTTAGAAATGTCTAATGAGGGCTTACATTCACAATAGGCTTGCAAGAATTAGGGAATGTTGACATTTATTCTGAGATGGGGAGACAGTTAGTCTGAAGTTTTTAGCAGAAATCTTCCAAGAGGAACAAATGGTTGCAAATTGGCATCCTTGGGCCACTGCAGGGGAACATGTAGGAATGGTGGGGGCGGGATCTCTTTGGTCAGTCATCTCAGAGAATGGAAGTGTAGACTCAAAGCCAGAATGTTCCCAACCGTCTGGCTAGACTGATAATAAGGGTGGAATTATTGGGCTCTCTAAACTTGATGGTGAAACCAAAAAGCTTTTCTTCCACAGATACGGGGTCTTGGGATCTATTAGTTGACTTTAGTGGAAAGATGTGGGGGTGGGCTGAGTTCTTCTACTATAAAAAGCTTACTGTGTGCTTTTGGGGAAATTCCTTAATTGTTTCTGAAGTTTACCCATCATAATGGGTGGGAAGTGGAAGGAACACTCCTTTGGGGCCTTCCTAGAATTTGTTAACATCTAGGGTCAACAAGGTTGATGTGAACCACTCAGGACTCAGAAGGTTGGCCCTAGGGTGGGTACTGCCTACCTGAAACCCTAGACCTCCTAAGGTGTTCCAAGGCTCTTTCCCACCCTGTTCCTTTCACACAACTACAGATGCAGGACTAGGTCAGGCCTTGGCAGGCTGGGGGTAAGCTACTTGGCTGGCCAGGCACTCCGATGGCTCTGGGGCCCCAGCAACCCCCGCCTCCCCCCAGGAAGGGGGGTGGGGAACACTGGTACTTGTTTACTTTACAGATCACAGCTGCCTTGAGCAAACCATGCAGCCTGTCACCCAGCCAGTCAAGTCCACCAAACACGAACAGCTGCTCAGCCTTACCGCCTCCTAGGTAAACAGTTCAGCTGGCCCGCAGGGCAAGGAGGTCAGGAGATTCCCCCTCATCAGCCCCGGGGGGCTTGCCATCAGCAGCTCCCCTCCCTTGAAGACATAGGGCCCCATTTCCTGCCACAAGCCCACACAGGACGCCTATCTCAACGGCTAGGGGTGGGTAGGCTGGCAGTCTGGCTTCCCCTGAAACCCTGGGGGCGGAGACCTGAGGCTCCTAGTGAGAGTGAGACCTAGTTTTGGGGAGGTATCAAGACCCTGAAGGAGGCATGCATCCTTCGAGGATAGGCATCGGTTCCACCCAGCACAGCCTGGCTTAGCTCTCCCTAACCTACTGCAGAGGAAGAGTGCAGGCTGCTGGCTGGCTCTGCATCTCTTTTCAGGGTCCCGTGTACTTGCGTACTCCAAGGGCACGGATGAGGGAGGTGGAGGCAGACTAGGGTCCATGCTTTTCCCACCTGCTTTTGTACAGAGCATCCCCACAGAAGGTGTGCACCTCAGAGAGTTGCCTTTACAGCCATCAGAGCAGGCAGGGTGGGCCACTGTCCACTGTCACTAGCTGCTGTGTCTTTCTCAGCTTCTAACAATTCCCAAGAAGACTTGCGGGCTGGCTACATACACCTTAAGGGGTAGGGGGGATGCTAGCTTAACACTGGGAAGAGGTGTGAGACTATGTCTGGAGGCCGTGGGGAGGAAAGGGGTGGAATTTGCTGCCGAGTGGGGACCCAGAGCATTGAAAGTGGGTGACAGATGTCAGTCTTTGAGGCTTAGCTGAAAAAGGGGCAGTAACCTTGAGCTGCCTCTGCAGGCATCCGTGTCTTCAGGGAGTCCCCATGTCCTAGCACCTCCAAAGTGTGGCAGAAGAGAGAACCGGGTTGTTGTCCACAGGGTGGGGGTGACTAAGTCCTTCTGATCTGTCCTGCCTCACGCCCTCCGAGGTTAGCCTAGATCCCTAGAGACTGAGATGAGCCCAAGGATTATGCTCCAGACCCCAGACGCAGCTGACCCAGGAACGACTGATTCCAATCTAGACACTTCCAGAGAGGAGAGTAGACGGGGAAGACAGGGTCCTATGGCAAAGGACACCAGGAGGGATGTCCCTTAGAGCCGGCCTAGGGGCCCCCAGCACTGGGCGCAGCGCCCACCCACCTTGCACGTGAGATCGTAGTTCGGACTGCAGGGTGGGGAGCGCTCGGGGGCCTCGCCATCCCCGGTGGTAGCAGCTCCGGGCGTGCCAGTCATGTCCCCGGACAGTCAGAGGTGAGCCGGGCTCACTGCAGGCAAGGGAGAGCGCGGAACCGCCCTGCCCTAGGCTCCGCCCACTCCTCCCTCCCCATCCACCAACCGGCTCGGACCCCGATAGGCTCCTCCCTCCGTCCCGCCATCCCCTCGACGACGCCTGCCAGGATGTCTAGGACTTGCCTAATGTGCGCCCGAGGGAATGGTAGGCCTCCGGAGAGACATTAACCTAGTTTTAGTGCTCTTACAGCACCGAATGAGTCCAAGTACAGGACCAGTCCCCTAAAGTCACAGCGGCGGCGTTAGGTTGCCATCGAGGCAGCTGACCCGGGAGACCCAGCTAGCTGCGGAAGGTGTGGCGCCTGGTTTCCTACTGCGGCTGGGCAGTGTGGCCAGCAGGGGACGCCCGAGCTCCAGCCAGCTGCCGGCCCGAACTCACCTGCAGGCAGGAGGCTGGGAACGCCCCTGAGCAGTGTTTGACAGGGAGCTGCATCCTGAGGCTCGCAACCAAACAGTTCCTTTTTTGCTGATGGACCCCAGCTCGAGCTCATCTGAGTCGACTTTTGTTCACCGACCCTCACCTCGGAGAGCACTGGCGCTGTGCCATCTGGGGAGCTCCTGGGTGGTGCTAACACTTGGAGCCATTTGCGGTATATCGGCTCTTATTTCTCGCTTATTTCTTGTTGGTCTAAGCCCCTAATGTCGCACCATGGGAACGCTCTCAAAGGTGGGCCTTTGCAGCCCTCCTTTCCAAGGGGGCAAGGTAGGGCCAGCCTTATGCAGGTGAGGCCCAGGCCTGGCCACCAAGTGAATTTGTGGATCATTTCGAGCAGTTTCCAGTACAGCCCAGGAGCCCTGGAGCTCCCAATGGCAGAGGACGTAGAGAATCTGGGGTTGTCCTTACCAGAGTTCAGTGGCATGAGGTCAGCCACCCCCATCCCCATGTTGTACAGAACGGAACTGGGTGGTGGACTGGGTGAGGAGTGCTGGGGAGCATACCCCCAAACTTTTCAGGTGAGGGCAGTGAGGGGCAATGTCAAGGCTTGTTTGGGGGTGACTACTGACTTGGGCACAGGCCATGTGCATCAGCAGGAACAATTTCATGGGATCTGATAGAAGAGCCCAGAGAATGGACGGAGGTGACCTTGTCACCCTGCCCCTAACCCTAGCCGTGACCCTAACCCTTGTCACCCTAACCCTGACCCTGACCCTAACCCTAAGACGTGAGAATTGGAGAGGGGGAACTAGCTAGCCCCTTGTTCACCACCCACTGGAAACTAATGTTATGCATTACACTGTGTCAGCCAAGAGATACAGCTCCAGGCACTGGTACTCCAGAATGTGACCTTCCTTGGTAACAGGGACATTAGAGATGTAAGCTACAATTTGGTCATCCTGGAATAGGGGCCCTGTGCTGGATAATGCCGATCATCAACTTGACAGGCCCCGAATCACCTGAGAGACAGGTCTTTGGGCATGCCTGCGAGGGATTATCTCGAGTAGGCCTGTGAGGGATTATCTCGATTAGGCTGGGTGGGAGAACCCAGCCAGGAGGAGGGTGGACCAGAAGGAGGGAGCCAAGTAAGCACAAACTTCCAGTTGCCGTCTGCCGTTTGTCGCCCCGGCTGCTGGGCTGCCCCCCACGATGAACCAACCCCAAGACTCCCTTTCTTAATAAGTTACACCAGCGTATTTTATCACAGCTGCAGAAGTAACGGAGACAAGCCCCTAAACCAATGTGTTGTGAGGAAAGACTTAGAGCAAATAGGGAGAAGACAGTCTTGTGAAGACAGAAACATGAAGGGTGTCTGGAGCTAACGAAAGCTGGGAAGTCGTAGGGAGAATTCTAACTTGAGCCTGCTGACACTTGGGTTTGGGACTTTGGTTTGTGTCGTTGGCTCCATATTATTTTGGGAGGAGGTGGAGGCTTCAGGACTTGGGGCTGGAGGAAGTAGGGCCTGGTTGCACTCTTTTTAGTAGGGTTTGTTTGGCATGGAGCAGACCAGGCATCTCCAGAGATGGCAGAGATAAGAGCCTTCTTTTAAATTTTTTTTTCAAGATATATTTATTATGTATGCATCATTCTGCCTCCATGCATTCCTGCAGGCCAGAAGAGGGCGCCAAATCTCATTATAGATGGTTGTGAGCCACCATGTGGTTGCTGGGACTTGAACTCAGGACCTCTGGAAGAGCAGCCAGTGCTCTTAAGCCGTCTCTCCAGCCCTGATAAAAGCATTCTTACAGAGCACTGGGGAGAATGAAGTTCTGTTTTGGGGCAATGATTGTTGGGTCCTGTGGGTTATGGTCCCCGGATCTGCAGCATGCAGGCATCGAAGTATGAATATGTCATGCATTGTTCCCTGGGATGCTTAATACCCTGTGGTGTATTCAAGGGTAGTCCCGAGTAAGTCAGAAGCAAGAGGGTCAGTAAGGACTTTCAGAGTGGGGCTGTGTAGAAGAGGTGCTCACTAAATGTGGCCTTCAGGAGAGGGAATAATCCAGAACACAACACCAGGCTTTCTGGCCTCTGCTCTGATGCTGTGTGCATGCCCTGGCAGCCTGTGTCTCCCCACAGTGGCTCACACCTCATGTCACACCATAGTCACACTCTGTGACACTGACACTACAGCACAGACATCCCTCATGTGCACATATCCCATCATCCCTTAACATACAAGCTTCGTATCACAGACACACACTGTATATGGTATATCATAACATCATAATGCATATCATAATAAGCATACAAAGTCTTACTCAACTCCTGGACACATACCCAGACACATACCTCCCTTCATTCCACACAGATGCATGTTGTTACCACACGGAAACCACAGACATAATTTGCATTGCACTCAGAACACAGGACACATCAATGCTCGCATACCCTCAAATTGACCACATACTTCATGCGGTGGTTTGAAAGAAAATGGACCCCAAATGGAGTTATGGTTACACTACTGGGGAAATGGCCTTGTTGGAGCAGGGGTGGTCTTGTTGGAGGAAGTGTGTCACTTTAGAGGCGGTCTTTGAGATCTCAGATATGCTTAAGCCATGCACAGTGAGACAGTTCTCTTCCTGTTGCCTCTGGATCAAGGTGTAGAATTCTGTAGCACCATGTCTGCCTGCATGCCATCATGCTCCCCGCCATGACAATAGTGGACTGAACCTCTTATATTTTTGGTTGTGAGCCTAGCTTTTAATGGCTGAGCTATCTCTCCAGCCCATGGACTGAACCTCTGAAACTGTAAGCTACCACCTCAATTAAATGTTTTCTTTTATAAGAGTTGCCGTGGTCATGGTGTCTCTTCACAACAGTAGAAACCCTAAGACACCTCACATCCTTACCGGATGCCCAAATCACCCTCAAAATCAACCTCTCTCACTCCCCCAGATGTGAAATGCACACACCTGATCGGAAGCCCATGTCCCATTGTGTTATAGGTCACAGCCCACAGACTCACACAGTCATCCTGGTAGAGGGTGGGCCAGTGACACAGGCACCTGTTCTCTATTTAGAGGAGCGCTGGGGTTCCTCCCAGACATGCAGGTGGGTTGAAGAGAACCCCAGGGCGATGACCACACACCACAGTGACTGCAGAGTCCAGATGTCGAGGGGAGACTAGGGTAGAAGCTGGAGCAGCAAGGTCAACACTCAGGTTTTGCCAATTAGTGCACAGATCACCTGCAGCATAGCTCCCAAAGGCAGACTCTGTTCCCCATCCTGACCCTAACCAAACGGCCTCTGCAGGTTTTTACACACACCAAATGAGTGTTGAGAACCACTAGCTTCAATTGTGTGCGACGTTGAGCAGAAGATGAAGGGTTTAGGCTTTAACAGGCAGTAGTGAGATGATGGCAGATGGACAGAGGAAGGTTTTGGAGATGAACATTGCTTGGGTAAAACTAGAGAGTCTGAGGAAAATAAGGACAAGCTGTAACAAGGAAGATCTGACCTGCAGTGGGAGAGGGGTTGACTGGAAAGGTTAGTGTTTCATGGTCTGAATACAAAATGTCCTTGTGTAAGTTTCTTTTTACAAAGTTCCTAGTCCCCAGCCAGTGGCATTATTTTGGGAGATGGTAGAATTTTTTTTCGAGACAAGGTTTCTCTGTATTGTTTTGGAGGCTGTCCTGGAACTCACTCTGTAGACCAGGCCGGCCTCAAACTCACAGAGATCCGCCTGCCTCTGCCTCCCGAGAGCTTGGATTAAAGGTGTGCACCACCAATGCCTGACTGAGAAGGTAGAATTTTTAAGAGTTGAGTCCTAGCTGGAGAAAGTTGGTCGCAGGTCTGTGCTTTGGAGTCATCCTTGGTCTCCCTCCTTGGCTCCTGTCTGCTGTCAGGTGAGTAGCTCTGGTGCTGTGTCTCCTTGTGATCCCCGCATCAACAGAGCCAAGGACCACAAAAAGGAGCCCTGAAACTGTGAGCCATAATAACCCTTTCCTCGAGTCGTCTATGGCAGCCTTTTACACCTGAAGTGACAAGAAGTCTAATGCATAACGCTGGCTCTTGGGAACCTATTGCCTATGGGGGGTTGCCTTGTTCAGCCTTGATGCACGGGGGAGGAGGAGCTTGGTCCTGCCTCAGCTTGATGTGCCTGGCTTTGTTGATTCCCGTGGGAGGCCTGACCTCATCTAAGTGGAGACGCTAGAAGAGTGTGGATGGGGGGTGAGTAGAGAGAGGTGGGGGCGAGGGAGTGGGAGGAGAAGAGGGAGGGGAAACTGTGGATATGAAATATATTTATTTATTTATTTTAAGATGTATTTATTTATTTATTACATATACACTTTTCTGCCTACACGCCAGAAGAGGACACCAGATTGAATTGTAGATGGTTGTGAGCCACCATGTGGTTGCTGGGAATTGAACTCAGGACCTCTGGAAGAACAGGCAGTGCTCTTAACCTCTGAGCCATCTCTCCAGCCCCCGAAATATATTTATTTTTAAATAATAAAAAAAGATTAAACTGGGCCTTTGTATGCTAGAACCAAGGAAAAGGAAGAATCAGGCATCACGCAAA